TCAAAACATTTTTTTCATTCTGTTGCAAAATTAACTGCTGTTAATCTGTCAGACTAAGTATTCTTTTAAACTCTTTTTTACATTTATGCGGTTTATCTCTTTTTGCATATGCAAACAGCAGCAACAACAACAGCAACAACAACACCAGCAGCAACAGCAGCAGCAGGCGGCTCCTCCCCCACCCCAGCCCCAGTCCCAGCCCCAGGTAGCTGCTGGACTACAGCCCCAGGCTCAGGGACAGCTGCCCAGGTTGGGCACGCAGCCATTGAACTGGATTTGGGACAGAGTAGTTTTGGGTAGAGGTGGGAGACAAGGCAAGGCACTCTAAAGTGGGGTTGGGAAATCAGTATGAAAAAGGAGCTAGAAGGGTCAAGTTCAGCCTTCCACTTTCCATTTCTACCTCAGTTCCAGCGCCAGGGGCTTCAGCAGACTCAGCAGCAGCAGCAGACAGCAGCTTTGGTCCGGCAACTCCAACAACAGCTCTCCAGTTAGCCTGCTGCCTTCTGGAGGAGAAGCCCATGGGATAAATGGGGGGTGGGGTGCACAAAAGTAGGTGGCTGCCTCAGGTGCAGATTCTGGGGAGAAGTACTCCGTTCCGTTCCCTCCCCTTGGTACCTGAATAGCTTTCTTCATGCAACCCCACATCCCTGCTAATCTCTGGTTTCCCACAGATACCCAGCCACAGCCCAGTACCAACATCTTTGGACGCTACTGAGCCACCTGGAGGAACCGCTTGTGCACTGGATGTGGCCCCACCCATTCCTCTTCATTCCCGATCCCCTTCCCGGGCTAGCACCAGTAGTGGTTGGGGCGCTTCCCTCAGGCTCCATTTTTAATGAGTTTTTAGTATTTTTGTTAATGTGAAGCATTGAGCTGTTGGGTTTTGTATATTATTTATATAGATACCCCAGAGCTGTTGCACCCAATACACAGAGCTTCTTTGCAAAGGGAGTGTGTGAGTTCTGCGTGTCTGGGAGGGGCATCTCTTGGGAGAGTGCCGGGGCAGTGGGGGGGGGGTGAGGGGGTGGGGGGGACTGGATCAACAAGGCAGAGCTTTCGCTCTGTCCATATCATCTCCCGTTTACCATCCACCACCTAAATTTCTCAATTCTGATTGGATGGCTGCCCTCTCTTTCTATCTCCATATAGGGGTATACCATTGGGATTGGGGAAGGGCTGTTAGGCCAGGGGAACAATCAGTGGAACCTGATTCTCCTACAACACCCCAACATGCTGGGCCTTGAACAACCTGGGGGAGAGGGGAGAGACAACAGACACTGCCTACCCTTTTGCTGTCTTATGTAGTCCCCATCATGTACCAAGTGGCATCCTTTTCATAGGACAGAACTTCCCTGAGAGTCACATTTCTGGGATGAAAAGCTGTCCATGGGCGTGTGTCATGGAATAGGTGGCGGAAGGGTGGGCTGGTTCTAGGAGCAAGGGAAGGCAGTGAAATGCACCCTTTTCTCTCTGTGCCCTGCTGCTGGAGCTGCTTGTTTTCACATGACCTACTTTGGCAGTTGCCCAGGACAACTTGCTCACTCCCATTTTACAGTGGAGAAAACTCAAAACTTTTGCTCCAGAGTCACATCGGGAGCTGTGACAGGGCCATTCTCACCCTCGCCTTCAGGTTTGGGCCCTAGAACCCAGGCTATTTAGGAGAGCCAACTGGTTTACAAAAGTCTTCTGGTCTCCCTCTCCTGGGCTTGAAGAGGACCAGCCCCAGCTATGTGGGTTGGTGACACAGGATGCTCAGTCAACCTGAGGATAATGCCCAAGCCAGAGTTGCAGCCTATCTTTGGGAAGTGTCAAGTGTGCTGCAAAACCCAGGAGCACCAATCAGTACCCACATTAAAAATAAATCGATAAAATGCCTCTTTGTGGTCCACGAAGCCCTCCCTCCGTGGACCTTACCAAGTTGAAGGGTTGCTTTGGAACTCCCCTGCAAGGTAAAAGCAAATAGGACTGAAGCTTTCTTCGGACTTACTCTACCCTGATGAGCATTCCCAGGAGCCACAGGGTTAGAAGCTTGGCTGGGATAAGAGCCATTCAGGGGCTGTGGTGAGTACGGAAGCCAGGCAAACTGTACAGGTGCGCTGCATACCGAAACCAAGACACAAAGACACTGGATTTGGAGGGGAGAGACTGAAATGGTCAGACAACTGGCATGCTTACAGCCCTGAGTCGGACATGCCCCAGCAGAAGGGAAAGGCATTGACCTTTGGGAGAGTGACAGGATGAGAGCAAAGCGGCCCTATTGGTTGCTGCTCCGTAGAGCTGGTGCTGAGGAGAGGTGACAGATGCTGGATGAAGTGGAGGCAGCTCTTTGAGGAGTAGGACGGGGGGTTCCTGCAGGCAGTGCCTCAGTTTCTCCCTTTGTTTCAAGGTCTGAAGCTTTGCAGGTAAAGTTTGGATTAGCTGCCCTGGATGATCACCTGTCTGCTAGCTCCCGATCTGAGGTGTGCGTGTCGGGCGTGGGTGGCCGGGGGGAGATCAGGAGTAGGTCATGCCTGAGCATGGGAGGAATTGGGCCATGCCCCAGGACTTGAGCCATCTCTGGCACAAAAGGAGTTAATGGCAGGGGCCGCGCCCCCCCGTGTCCGGGCACGCGCAGCGCGCCCCCTTGGTGCGCGGGCACAGCAGCCAAGCTGCCGGAGAGCTGATCTCGGGGATTCGGGTGCGGAGCCCTTGGCCTGGAGGCGATATGGGTGGTCCGTGGCCCCTCTATTCCATAGCCCAGCCCGCATGCTCATCAAATTATCCCTATCAAGGGCCCCCAACCCCATTCCCGTATTGCACATTGCCAGTTCCCCCTCCCCTGCAGTGCAGCCCCATCCCCCTTCCATCATAGCATCTCACAGCCAGGCTCCCTCCCCCACTCTCTGCAGCCCCCCCACCCAATGGAGGCCTTTATCCTATCCTCCCCCATTCCAGTGCAACTCCATCCCTCCATACCATTCCAAGCCCGGTAGCCCCCAATCCTGCAGTTCCCAGTACTGGTCCATTCCTGCACAATGCCCCTCGCCCAATACCGCTTCCGCCCATAGAGTACCCCCAGATGCCATTCTCATCCCCAGCATTGCTGCTCCCCTTGTCTTCTCCCAAATTGTAAGTTGGACCAGGATGGAGATCTTGGCCTTGGAGACTCATAGTGGGTCCTAGGGTACAGAGGGCGTTTGGGGGTCGGTTGGTTTGTCTGGGTGTTAACGGGGGAGGGGCTGCAGGGAATTGACTCAGAGGGGAATTAGGAATTTGGCGCGGAAGGGTTACTGGCAAGGGAGGCATCCGGAAAGAGTTAATGGAATTTGTGGGGTGGGGGCAGCACTGAAG